TGTGTGTGTGTGTGTGTGTGTGTTCATATTCACTATACACTCAAAAGAAGCACGACTGTGTCTGCGTGTTTTTTCTTTTCTTTTTACAATCAATCAATCACTCGATCGATCGATTGATCAATCAATCAATAAATCAATCAGCCAACCAATCAATCAACCAATCAATCAACCAATCAATCAACCAATCAATCATCAATGAACCGATCAATCAATCAATCAATCAATTTGGTTTTTCTTTTTAATCGCACCAACCCAAAGGAAAAAAAAAGGTTTCTATTTTTTTATTTGGGGGGGTACCCCTCTACTCCAGCAAACCCCCTTCCCGCCGTCGGATTTTGAAGGCCGCCCTCCGAAGGCCTAGGAATGGCCACGTATGGCCATACGTACGGCCCGTATGTCGGCCAGGGGCCAGAGATTAGAAACGGGTACCCAGACACACACCCACATGCGCACACCTGACCCACAAGCCATTAGGTCAGATCTGAGCTTAAATTAGCCTGCCTGGGGTGGACGTGGGTGGGTCAAGGTAAACCGGCCTTAGTGGGTGACAGGCGGGTTAATGTTTGGCCTGGGTTACCCAATCGGGTGGGTGACACTTGCAACGGTCTACAATGATCTTCGAGGTCTTCTGCGAATCGGAATCTCAATAATCACATATAAATTATCACAAAAGGGAAACCAGGCCCCGATCAAACAACTAGGCAGGTGAGTGTTTGGCCCGGGTCACCCGACCTACAAGACCCAGGACAACTCAGAATGACTCCCTCTCCGTCCCTTTTCCCTCCCAATTCCCCCCCCCGAAAAGGATTATCCCTGGTCAAGCTGCTCACCCCATGTGGACCCTCCCCCCAAAAAAAACCTTGGTGCAGCCGCCAGCGACACATTTTGACCAAAACTCTCCTGTTAACGCAACAGGGAACCTCATCAGGCTTTAGATTCGCTCCCTATTTCAAAATTGACACCCTACCTAGGCTACCCAATAGTCTTGTTGGTGCGGGCAGATAAGGGTGAAGGGTTTTTACAGGTGGCGGGTGGGTCAGGTGTGGGAGGGAAATTCCGGAAAAAAAAACTTGGCCCAGTCAGGTCCCCTCGAGGGAATTGTTTTTTGGGGGTGGCGAGGGCAGGCTGTACGAGAAAAAATTTGGGCGGGTCGGGTCTGGTGGCCACTCTCAAAAAGCAAAGCTCATCACTGTAGAATGCCAAGGCTTTCTATTCGAAGAATACATCACCAAGCATCTCCAACACTAATCTTTCCTATGCATGCACCCTTTCCCATGCCCTTCCCCATCTTGTGCCCATGTTTATTCGACATGGCACACCCCAACAATCGGAGAACTATGCAGAGCATTGCCTGCCTGCAAACACGGATGCTGGAGGCTGTCTGCAAAACCAAACCCAAATCGTCTATTCAACAGGAATGTGAGGCTCTTGGAATCAGTCTGCCCCTAAAAAGGCCACCTGTGCAAAATGTCCCCCGGCCATAATTGAACGCCTAGGCAAGGAAACATCAGGCCAGCCCTGAGTGAAGGCCACACCTGGATACACTGGCAGAGTTTGCAGCCCCAGCCCATGTAACTAACTGGTAGTGTAACTAACTGGTAGGCCCACCTTCTGAATTAGTTACATGGGCCGGGAGCCAAAATCTGAGTTAGTTAAATGGGCCAGGAGCCAGACTCAGTCAAGCAGGCGGTAGGGACGGCCTACTGGCACTGCGACCCTGGCCTCCAGACAGAACGAAGAGATGAGGCTGTGGAGAGCAAGACATTCAGGCATTGGCAGTAGCGCGGCAGCGCATTGCGGTCAGATAGCACCCAGGCAGAAGAAGGCAGCCGCGGTAGCTGCCGCAGACAGAGCCTGCAATAGCTGGGCAGCGTTGAGCAGGAACAGGGTGGCATGTTATTGGGGAGATCAGGGAAGAGGAGGAAGACGGCGGGAACAGGCGGTACTTACCTGGTGTTGGCGTAGGAGGACAGGCATGAGGAGACTCTTCATCAGCATCTGGTGAGAGGCTAAAGACAGTGAAAGAGACTAGCGTGTGTAGGTAGAGCACGAGAGTAGTTTATTACATCATAATAGGGCTACTACATTGTTGTTGTATAGATTGTTGAAGGTGCGAGAAGGGCGGTGTCACACCGCCACACGAACAGCCCAGCAGCCCCTTCACAGTTGCAAGGTCACATAGCATGAGCTCACCCTCAGTCTTTTTCTGGAACCCTTCTTTTTTTACTTTACCATCTGAATGCATCCAGACAGTCTGGATGAACGTCTGGTCCGCCCGAATGTTGTTTGGTCATCCCGACAGTCCCCCACATTAAGATTAATCCAGTTAGAGAGGCCGGTTCGCCTGGCGTCCAGATCCTCGGTCACCATGGAGTAAATCTAGTGCAAAGTTGTACCATCACACATTTCACAGAAGGAATAGTGAGGGACAGCCCAGGCATTGGGTGACAAACATGTTTCTGCAGGTAAAACGAGAAATTGCACTCACTTTGTTGTGTTGCTGTATCGCAGCTTATAATAGAAATACTGGCAAAGCTTTTCCAGAATGGGTGTGCTGATCTCGGGGAACTTCACTTCTCCAAGTTCTGTTTCAGTAAAGCTGCCTGCAAACAACAAATCAGACCAATAATAGTCAAACACACATGTACCAGCTCAGGATCCGAATCATCATCATCATCATCATCTTAATGGATCGTTCCCTGCAAAGGTGAATGAATGTCTGCTACAGAAAGCCAGGCACATCAGATCACTCTCCTATAAGTGGTTATTCAGATCCCTCAAAGAAGGATCTGGATCACCATCTTGTCAGGCCTGATGGGCCGAAGAAGATTGTGGCCAGGGATGCACAACTCATTGATAAAGCTTACACTAACACATCCCTTTTAATAGCTTTTATCGTTTTAACAATCACAAGGAGCAGCAAGGGGAAAAGGACGGCGGAGAGGAGGTCCAGTTTCGCAACAGGGAAGTTATCTAAAACAACGAGAATGCAAATCTCCCCCCCAAATGGTTGGTTGGGAACGTCATTTCAGTTCTATATCAAGGTACCAAATCAGCGAGGTGCAGACCTTCCCCCCCCAACAGAAGGATTAAAAGGCAGGGGAGGTAAGAATATGATCTAGGGAGTGTAAAGGCGAATTGAAGCAAGACAGAACACTGTCGAACGGGGAGATACAGTACGCAACAGAATCCTCTGAGGGTCCTTGTTTGACGGCCCAGATTTCAGATTTGTTACATTTGTCCGACGATCTGGGCCATGGCCCGATAGGATGGCGGCTGCTCGGGTTTCAGATTTGTTGCATTAGCGATTGTTATAGCGTGGGAACCGACCAGCTCCCGGAAATAGAATAGCCTAGTGTGAGAGTCCAATCCAGTTACCTCCTTCAGACGCAGCCCGTACAGTACCACCTATGTAAGGCATTCATGTGAGCTTTTAGAGTGTCACAAGGGGCTCTCAATCATGCAGGCAACATCGAACCATCCAATTTAACATATGAGGAAGACAGCAGATTGCCACAAGGGAAGTTCAAGGCAGGAATGTAACAATGACCTGGCATAGACGTGAATTCACAGCTACAATGTCAATGGAGACTGCGACAAGGGGGCTCGAAGTGCGAGTCTAACAGAACAGTTATACACGCCACGAAAGAGATGAAGAAAGCAGGCAGGATTCGGTGAACACAATTTATTTTCAGCAAGTTCAGTCTCAAATTTCATTCAAGTTCACTTCAGTTCTATTGAGATCTAAGTGCGATTTGCAAGACAAGCTCAATTTTAGGGGAAAAAAAAAAAAAAAGGTAACAAACTCGTGGCATTCCTGGTGTCACAAGGCGATGGAACAGACAGACAATAGAGAGACATCGATCCTCAGTTACGTAAGACTTGCAAAACAGAATCAGTGAGACCCTTGAGATTTATGTGGAGTAGAGAACCAGCAGGAAGATAACAGGCCCGCTCCAGCTAGAAAGGAGTTAATGGGGCCTATAGGGAAAGAGGAGAAATCAAGGCCAGGGAGAGAAGGACCGAACATAGACTACCCTGGAGACAGCGGTTCACACACCACTGCAAACCGTTAAGTGTTATCAGGTTGTCATTGTATGAAAAACGGACCAGATGGAAGGCAATGGGCAATTAAGTGCAGAGATGTATAGCACAGAGACGAGTTGGTGTGTTTCCCTTGGCTTTTACTTGAAACATGTTCACATACCATGCAATTCTCAACTTGTCAAACTTACAAACGCGGACCCGTCATTTAGATACAGTCAGCCAACCTCTCTCTCTCTCTTCTCTCTCTCTCTCTCTCTCTCTCTCTCTCTCTCTCTCTCTCTCTCTCTCTCTCTCTCTCTCTCTCTCTCTCTCTTAGGTCTATCCGTCACTTCAG